TGGCCGCGAGGCTCCTGGGGGCCGAGCGTCGCCCTCGCCCTGTGTGGTGCGGGACCGTTGTCTGCAGCTTCCTTCCTGTGGAAGAACATACTTTTCTGGGGCATGGGGAGGAAAAGGGAGCAGGCAAATGCCAAGGCCAGGGAAGCCAGAGTGATGGCGTTGAGGTAGAAGTAGGAGACGTGGGCCAAGGAGACGAGGAGCTGCCCCAGCACGGCGGCAACGGTGGCCGCCACGAGGGTGATGCTGCGGCAGTAGCCGGTCACTCGCTGGTAGTGCTCGGTGCTGACGACGCTGTAGATGTAGGCGTAATAGGCGACCTCGGTGGCCGTCACCAGGCCGTAGCAGAACTCCATGAGCTGCATGGGCACCACGCCACGTGCAAAGAGGAGCAGGAGCCACGTGGTGAGGAAGCTGATGCCCTGCAGGATGATGACGGGCTTGTAGCGCACGTAGTCAGTGATCAGGAAGACTGGGAAAAGGAGCACAAGGTAGGAGTACGTCCAGACTGGGAAAATCTTATTTGTCACCTAGAAAGTAAGGGGAAATCTCTGTTATTTTTAGAATCTTGTGATGATGGTATTGGAACAAAAGGAGTTGTGGTGACAGGAAGCCCGGATCTATGCCTATTTAGATTACCATAAAGCGTACAGCTGCAAATATGCTCCATTAGTAGGTAAAGGGAAATGCTGCAGGACTGACTTTACATGAGCCTGTAGACTGGCTCAAAACCCATTCCAATAAAAACAAAGATATATTAAGAAAGCAGATTTTTTGATATCTAGCTTTAAAAAGTGTTGTAACAGCTTCTGCTTCCAAGCAAAGGTCCATCTAATACCTAATTCTCTTTCCATCCAAGGTTGCAAATAAATGTTTGTCATTCTTTTCTCATCTCTGCCTTTTGGTACAATTAGAAAAAAAATCATAGCTTTCTTTCCCTAGACGATTTGGATCTGCACATAGTGACTACATAGCTCTTACTGTTAGAAATATGATATGAATACCTTATTGTCAATATTTATTTGTGAGAAGTAAGTACAAGTCCTTGATGGAAAGGTACTTGAGGAAGTTTCAGTTGGTGCTCTGAAAAGGAAGTTATTCTGCAGTGGGCTCGAACAGTGCTGTGAACTAATCCCGTCTAAAACTTGAGGTTCGCCTGGCTGTCTCTGACTGCAGCGGGGGTGGGGGTATGTGTGTTGTTAAATACTGTCAAGGGATCGGCGTTCATCCAGTCCTGTGCTCGATGGCTGCTCTGGCCAGTGGCTCTCTGGCATAAACAGTTCAACTCGAGCGCTGTTTAGTCTAAAGTTGAAAAAATAGCTGCATACCTTTTTCAGAAGAAAACCTTGGGTTCCTGCTATGCTAGATAGTTTCTGTATTCGCCAGTGTAAGTCAGGAGTGACTGCCCTTTGTATTAGCTGTATGTGTCTCTATAAAGCTTGCTTTTTAATTATACCACTAACCTTGTGGCTCAGCTACTTACCCCTTGAGCCCTCTTCTGCTTCAGTGTGTGTTCCTAAAGGGGCCAGCACTCCTTGCAGGAGTAGAGCAAGGACACTTGCAATATGTGCATGGGGTGGTTTGGTTTGGTTTTGCTGAGGGAGGGAGGTGCAAATCTGACTTGCGCAGACTAATTAATCTATAGAACCATCTTGAAATACAGGTGATAAAAATACAGGTGATACAGGTAATACAGGTGATAATCTAATAGCTCAGAAGGGAGAAGTCTGTGTAGTTTTCTCACTATTTTCAATTACTGCTTTACTGTCCTTTTAGTTAATTCCACAATAAGCATAAATAAATCTTAGTATTGCCTCTCCTGCAATTCTGGAGAGGGATTAGATTGCTTGACTTACTTAAAAGTATCCATTTCTTAAATAACAGCTGAGTTGGTTTCAGAGCACTAAGAATGTAGAAACTTTCCAATTTTGACCCTCAGCGAAAGGAAGGATCCTTATTTGTCAGCTGAATCTTAAATACGATTCCCTAGATATATTTTGTCTGTATTTTTGAGCATTTTATCTTCAGTTGTTGCTGTATAATTTATTGTTTAAATATTGCAATTATTGCTCTAGAGAGTGGTTACGTACCTCTTCAATCGTTAGGTTTTTGTCTGGTCCAGTTAGGTAAGGAGTGAGAAAGGCTTCTGATGGCCTCATTGTCGCGAAGAATCCATTTGCACAGAGGATTACTGTGGGATAGATCCAGCTGCTGCTACTGGCTTCCTTGCAGCAATCCATAACCCAGCATAGCATGTGATGTAGTGAATAAAACAGGAATGTATGAAGGTGCTCTCTACAGTGGATAAAGATTCACTTGTACATTAACATGTGAACTGCTTTTGCTAATGTTTTTCTTGCCATACTTCCTAGTAGTCACAGATAGAAGTTGTAAAGAAACAATCTGGATCAAAGTACATAGGTGACGCTGAGTTCCAATCTCTGTATCATTTGTCAAGGGTTCTTGGTGTCTGTCAAGGGTTATTCTTAATAATGTACTTAGAACTGAGTGGATGTGTTTTAGTCAAGGAAGGAGACTCCATTACAGCTCCATTTCAGAATGAACGGGTTTCAAATGGATTAAATGGATCTCATTCTCAGCACACTGGAGGGGACTTTGAATTGCCCCTGGGAACCAAGTGGAACAATGAGAAGTACGAGCAAGATACCACTGTGATCGTATTTATATTTCTCATCATATTTATACTGTGGTCATTTGAGTGGGGGGGAAAATGTAGAAATGATCTCCTTTTTGGATTTGCTCATTAATTCTGCCTAGACTTAGGGGAATCTTGACTTCACTTTTGAAAGTGATGATCAAAAGGGAAACAATGGGACTTGTTTACAGTAGATGGCAGTAAAGAAGTCTAAAAAGACTATTTACTAGAAGTCTAAAAAGACTATATACTAGTTTACATATTAGAAGGTCCACATTAGAAGTTACTGGGAAAACAAGTGGAACATGAATATCCTCAAGGGAGAAAGCAAAGAAACCAATGAGAGACTGAAATCAAGCTGCTGAAAGCTGTTTTTCAGCTGTTTGATTCCCCTTTCTAGCAGCATTCTTTAGATAAAATGTCTCTAGAGCACTGTAAAAGATTATAGTTATTAATACTTGCTGTTTATTGCTGTATGTTAAGGCAATATCTTGCAACCTTATCACAAAAAGGCCAACCCTTGCCTTGAATGTTGATTTTTAAAAAAAAAAAAAATCACATCTGGTTATCGTTATTTGCGAGTTGTAGTTTCTGTGTATAGAAAGTGTTATCCAGACACTTTAAATCTGCTTTGAAATATGTTGATATCCATTACATCTTTGAAGGTGAAAATATATTAATATACAGATGAATAAGCAATAGCAACAGCACGTGTATCAGCTCAACTGCACTGTTGTGCTTCGCAATGCCTTTAGGTACTCTGGCCTCCAATTAACCCACGACCCGCACACGGTGGGAAGCTCAGGCTGGTGCTGGTGGCACACGGCTCTGCACGTAGCTCAGTGACCTTGAGGCCCCTGCGTTTCTTCTGCAGCAGCCTTGCTGGGGCAATAAGGAAGTAGGACGTGGATTATCACATGGATTATCACATATCATTTAAGGCAATGCTAGAAGCGAGCCTAGAAAATATGCTGGTTTCATATGATCAAGTTTACCAGTTCTTGTGATTTAAAACCACTTGCTTCACTTCTGCTTAGTCCCACCTCTGGGCAGTTTTTCTAGTGGCGGGATGTGGCAGCTGTGTGAAGAGCACAAAGGTCTGGGCAAATAATAGCTTGTGTCTCTACAGTGAAAAATATTATTCTGTAAACACTAATTCTTTTCTATTGTTATTACTCAAAATGTAGTCTTTGAAAGCTGGAAGCATCACAGTACAGATATAACTTGAACATATGGATATATTTTATATTAAATTAGGCACTCACCATGCAAATTCATGTATAGTGTCTCTTTGATTCTGGACTTGCTTTCCTTTGTGCTGGACTGAGTTACAGGATTTAGCCTCTTGCTAATACTGAGACAACTCTGCCAAATCCTTGGCTGAGATCAGTGGACCTTCCCTTCGTTCTTGGCACTCAAAAGTACACATGCTGCTGGTCTCAGTCTTGGCTGTCCTTGATAGTCTGGAACGTTCTTGTGCAGAAGCAGCCAGTTCCTCCGCAAGGCACTTCACTGGGCTTCGGCCTCGCTGCTCAGTCTCTTTTTCTTTGTGTTCTTTTTCCTCCCTCATGTTTCCTCATGTTGACACAGGAAGCTGCAAGGTCCTGCATGAAACTTAACTGGAAGCACAAAGGATGGGGGTGGAGTTCCTCATTTTTGTTCAGATTATGAAATTTTTACTCATCTGGGTTGAGCTTTGTTATGGATCCAGCACAGATTTCAGGCAGCAGCTTCCAAATGTGAGCCCATGACTGAAACTTAGCTGTGTTCCAGTGAACCTTTTTGGCTTTACTCTTTTCTAAGCCCCTGTGTACGATGTGGGCTTCCCAGTTGGAGGAGTCAGTCACTGTATCGCCCATAGTTAGCTAGGTAAGAATATGGAGCAAATGACACTGTTGTCCTCTGTTTCCAGTGAAATACGTGCAAAGGGGGACTAGACCCTTCACCTGCCTGCGTGAGCAAATCTGCATGGAAGTGGCTCGCCAGCAATGCCTAAAGGAGCTGGAGCACACAAGGCAAAGTGAAATATGGGGTTTAGTTATATATTTATTTTTCAGTCATGGCACAGTGGGATGCAAAGGTTGCTTTGCTGTTGTAAATAAGTTATTGCTATCATGTTATTTACAGGCAAACAAATAGGAAGGTAGAGCAAGTTGTCTCTTGCTGGCACGGAGCCGTTGCGGTGACCTCTTCGGCAGCAGCTGTAGGTGAGTGCGCCGCGTGCAGCGAGGCGCTGCACCCGCTCCGTGTAGATCCTCCCGGCTGCACCGGGCGCTCCTCGCGCTGCCGGTCCCGGCGCTGCCGGCTCCTTCCCACGAGGGCCTGGCTGGGTGAGGCTGCCCGCCCGTCACAGCCGCGTGGCACAGACGGCTGCGGGCTCCCGCGGCGGTCGCTGCTCGGCAAGGCTCGGAGGCGCCTTGCAAAATCTCAGCACTTTCCTTTTGCATTTGACTGAGACGAGCACGCAAATGCTTCTGAGCAAGAAGATCCCAGCTATGACTGCAAAGTAGCTGCCGTAAATTAAAAACTGGAGAGAGAGAAGGGAGAGGCAGAAAAAATGATGAAAAACACATGTTAAAGAAGCTGTGCCTTTTCTGGAGACAACAGACCTCTCGTTACTGAGTCTGCTTTGCATTTTAAGATGTATTTTAAGATGTGTTTTAACGGGAAGTAAGTAGAGTTGAGAGCACTTACCTGAGTCACTATGTCCAGGCCCAGGCCTTTTGAATCCACTACAACTACTGTAATGATGGTCTGAAGCACCAGCGCGAGGAAGTTGTTGAACCCGAACATCAGTGCGTAGCGCTCCATGCTCAAACTGACGGCGATCTGGAACCTGCGGGCAGACTGGCAGGTCACCTACCCTGGCACCTTCAGGGCGGCAGAAAGCTGCTGCTCTCTGCTTAATTGCTAAAGAGAAACAGTTTGTACAGATGATACAGTAAGGACAGAGTAAATGGAGCTTCATTTGTTTGCTTGGTCTGAACAATGTCCTGTCCAATCTGAGTTTATTTTAATGCTGTTGCACTTGTCTGGGTTGTTTTTCCAGAACATGTTTTTGCATGATCTGCTTTATCCAATAAGATATTGGTCTCAATTTTTTTTTTTTTTTTTTTAACCAGTCCCAGGCAGATGTTCTAACTGCTGCCCTGTCGTTGCGGCTTGGGCTCCCATAACCCTTGGTGATTCTCGTAGGGTTTCTTCTGAGTGCTTGAACATTGCTTCTCTTGGCGGTCTTGTTTGAAACTCTTAGTGATGTCATAAGTTATGTCCTGAGAGGTTCAAGTTGGACATAAGGGCGGGAAATAAAAATTCCCCCGAGGGGAACTATAACACTGGGCCAAATTTCCCAGACATGCTGCGGAGTCCTCTTGGTTGGAGGCTTTGCAGACACAGCTAGACAAAACCATGACCTGATGTGGTGTTGGCAGGAGTTCTGCTCTGGCTGGGATGTAGGGGCTAAATGGTCACCATGCTTGTTTGTTTATTTTCTCAACAACTTTGCTATGACATTGTGAATCACTTCTTGCTTTGTGGTTTAACACTGGAGGTGCTATCAAACTTAATTTTGTGGAGAGCCTGTAGATTTCCTTTCTAGTATATTTCTTTGACAGTGTTGTAAAACCTGTCCTTGTAATGTCTACCTTACCTGCTTCTGTGAGAGCAAATGCAGATGTGGTTCCTACAGTGTGCTTTTTATTGTTTTAAAGTAGGGCTTTTTCCTAATGCTTTTGGTTTTTATTATAATTCACAGTAGTCCAGATGTTCCCTACCATAAAGCACTGTTAACCCACCAGTATGAAAATACATTTTAGTAATTCTCTTTAAAATGAGTAGTAAGATTTTGAAAACTTGTAAAATTTTGTCAAAGTTAAAAGTTAAGTATCTTTTTTGACAAAAAATTGCATCTAGTATTTTTGTTAATGAAAAAGTATGATGAAATGTTGCCGTAGTCTAGAGGCATTCCAGTCAGTAGAATAAATATGTAAATCTCTACTGATGCTTATCAGCAGCATGGCTTGCTCTGACAAGAGTGTTTATCTGAGTTTAAGTTTTAGACATCTTCTCTTCTAATGTTTATGCATATAATCCCTAGGTATATTGTGGAGTAAACTAAGTTATGTGGCATTGTAGGCAAAACCTTTTCCTGGGATCCCACCACTCATAGTTTGTTAACAAGTGCATTATCATGATAGTCTAGATGTGAAGAGATGTTAAACGATGGCTTTCTGGCCTGTTTTTCCAAGATGGTGGTGCATCCCTCTTGTTCATTCTACGTCTTCTGTGTCGGGATATGTGCACTAGGGAAGCTGTCTGCATGCACTGATGTTAGCATTGCCTTTAGTAAGAAAGCTTGCTGGGATTCTGCCCGGGCACCTGTTAAGGGTCTTTGTAATAGGTTTTTCTTTGATGGTTGCTTAGAAGGATGAACCTAACATGACTAGATGTTTAAATGTCGTTGTCTTTAAACAGTTGATACGTCTAGAATTAGATCGCCTATCTCAGTAAAAGGAGGGATGCCCAAAGTAAACTTTCAAATTATACTATTCTCTGCATAATGGTAGCACTGCAAAGGTTTATACTTACGTTGCTATTGTTATAAGGAGCATATAGCATGCCTTGAAAATGAGGTAGCCGGCATAGCATTCCCAGATGTTGGCAGTAAAGTGCATCAGGAATAGGCAACCAGCATCCATGGCAGAGAAGATCCCTAAAGCCAGTTCTCCAAAAAGGTCCCAGTTCATTTTCATGTATCCGACTGCTAAAGATGTTATTGCACCTAGAAAAAAAGTAAAAATCAGGCGTTGTATACATTGTACAGCCAAGTTTTGACACCCTCGTGTTTCCAAAGAATAGTTCTGGAGTATCTGAATAGCCATTTTTCGGGGTCTTGCACAATTTAGAAACTTCTACCCTCCATGCTGAAAATTAGGTTGATTCTAAGAATGATTGATGAATTGGCAATACAGGAGTTGTGTGTTTCTAATGTATGATTTGGGTGATTTATATTAGTTGCCTTCCTACCTTGATGAGATTACTCTTAATGATTGAGAAGAAATGGACACTTGTAAGAAAAAAAAAAAAAAAAAAAAAAAAAACTGAATTGCCAGCTCTCATGGAGATATCTGTCCCAGCTGGTCACACCCCGGTGTCTTGCGCAAGTCCTGTACAGCAGCACAATCTAAATAGGTGAAACGCTGCCAGATCAGGGCAGTATCCTCTGACATTCCCCTTGGATAACATTATATTGTTTATAATAGGTGGACAACTGCTTCAGGTGTGAAAGCGTAATGATTAACATGATTAATTCAATGAGTACTTTTTCTGCAAACCACAGTGTCTTTGGGTTGACTGTAATTCTTTGCCTCAGCTGTGCTGGAGTATTGCACTACAGAAAGACCATAATGAGAGATTTATGCCTATGGAAGACTCCTCCTCCTCCGTAAGTTGATACCATTGCTATGGGAACCACTGTAACGCTTATCTGGGGAAAAAAAATGGCAAAAGAAGCATTGCTGTGTCTGGATATAGGAGCTGGATGCAAGATTCATGTGTCTTGCCCACTCTGTGGGCTGACAGATTTTGCACAACCAGACGACACCTTGAATGTACAAAGATCTGTAAAAGATACTAAACTGTTTAAAAAGAAACCTAGAAGCTCCCTTTGTGATAGGCGCTGTCTTACTAACTTACTCAAAAAAGTTGCGATGGCTTCGACAGCTCCGTTATAGACTGCAGCGCTGTGCGAGGGGGCTCTGAAGTCCCACAGCACTTGGATGTAATTCACGACCTGGTTAAAGCCGGCGGTGGCCAGAGCCCACCACAGCGACCAGTAGAGGAGCTTCCTGGAGCTGTAGCACTCCCGTAGGTCCTTGCTGAGCTGCACCAGCACCCGGAGCGCGCGGGGCCGGGACTGGGACCAGCCAGGCGGCTGCTCGTGCCTGGGTGTGGTGTCCTCGGAGGGAGGCTCTGTGTCCTCCCGGTGGCCGCGAGGCTCCTGGGGGCCGAGCGTCGCCCTCGCCCTGTGTGGTGCGGGACCGTTGTCTGCAGCTTCCTTCCTGTGGAAGAACATACTTTTCTGGGGCATGGGGAGGAAAAGGGAGCAGGCAAACGCCAAGGCCAGGGAAGCCAGAGTGATGGCGTTGAGGTAGAAGTAGGAGACGTGGGCCAAGGAGACGAGGAGCTGCCCCAGCACCGCGGCAACGGTGGCCGCCACGAGGGTGATGCTGCGGCAGTAGCCGGTCACTCGCTGGTAGTGCTCGGTGCTGACGACGCTGTAGATGTAGGCGTAATAGGCGACCTCGGTGGCCGTCACCAGGCCGTAGCAGAACTCCATGAGCTGCATGGGCACCACGCCGCGTGCAAAGAGGAGCAGGAGCCACGTGGTGAGGAAGCTGATGCCCTGCAGGATGATGACGGGCTTGTAGCGCACGTAGTCAGTGATCAGGAAGACTGGGAAAAGGAGCACGAGGTAGGAGTATGTCCAGACTGGGAAAATCTTATTTGTCACCTACAAGGCAAGGGGAAATCTGTTGATTTAGAGGAAGGGATGGTACTTTTTTGGAAATAGCTTTGTAGAGGGTGGTTTTTGCTATGAAAGAATGAATAAAATACCTAACTTCACTAGTCTGAAGCACCATATGGTCTTCAGCAATAGAATCTTATTTCTCACAAGTTCTGTTGAGAAGTAATTTGCTTATTTATGCCACCTGCAGCACATTATAACTTGCATTACATTGACATTTGTTTTATGTCTTTCGGTGATTCATTTAAAAAAAAATAATGGAGTAAAACCATACCTCATCAATGGTCAGGTTTTTGTCTACTGTTAGGTAAGGGGTTAGAAAAGGCTCCGAAGGCTTCATCATATAAAAGAATCCATAGATGCAGAGGAGCAGGGTGGGAAAAATCCAATTGCTGCTATTCTCTTGCTTCCAGCAGCCCATGACCTGTGCAGCAAAGCTGAGGAGGGAACAAGTTGTTACAGCACTTCTCATGCAAGCAGAAAGTTGCTCTGTAATTGATCACTTCATGGCCTCCAGTGTTACAGAGCACTCTTTAGCTGGCCATGGGAAAGCATTTTTCTTTATAACTCAACAGGTTTGTGCATATCCATCATAGCCTGTGTGTTTATGGATGGTGACGTGGAACGTTTTTTGCGAGGAAATGAATTGGGCTCTTGTTCTGCGTGGGCCAAGGTAGCAAGTGGAAAAGCCCTCCTGGAAAAGAGCCAGCGTGGTCAGCTGAGCAGCAGGACCTCACCTGACGCTATGACTGAGCACTACCCTGTCGAGTGAGGAGTTACCAGCTCCCAATTACCGATTCCCTCCTTGACCTGCTTCTTGTGTATGGCTTTCCTGCGAGCAGAGAGATGGGAGCAGCAGCGGAGCCCGACAGGGACCGAGTCCTCACAGCAGGCAGATCCTCACTGGAATTCACTGCCCTGAATCAGAATCAGCTGGCATCAGAAGTCCCATTTGGACACAGGCTTGTTTCAATTTCTGAAAAACACTAAAGGTAACAGCTCACATTGGAATGGAGTAGATTATTTTGTTCTTCTCTCCAAATGAGACTTATGACATAAATTAATGCTTGGTTTAACTCTGCTGGACTGAGGGAAACCTGAATGGAAATAACAGGGTGGCTGCAGGGGAAATGTGGAGAAAGTAATTTGCAGTCTATTTTCATGTAGGTTAGGTGCAAAGTTACTTAGGATGTGATATATATATATATGTATATATATGTATTTAAAAGAGAACAATGGTTTTGCCTCTTTACTTACAACTTCATGCTGATATAGAGTTGCTAATAGCCTGGTGAACTAAGAAGTGGATATGAAGATAAGGGCTTCTTGGTTTTAGTTAGATGGCTTGAATCTTGTCATTTTGTGTGTGAACCCCCCGGCCGGGTTAGAAGTAGGAACGAAGGTAGCCCTGTCAGTTCTGCAGAGTGAACCACTAGAGGGCAAGATGAGCTCAGCAAAGGAAATAACACGTCTGGGTGGGACAGAGTGATCAAGGAACGAGGCACTTGTGTTTCTCCTCCCTTCCCTGTTGTTGCAATAGCTTCTGCTGAGTGCACAGCTCCAGCTGTTTCGGCCCTGCCCAGTCTTATAGCCAGACACCACAACATCCCCTTGCTCTCCTCTCATGTGGTGATCATTAAGGTGTTACAGCATCCTGATAGCATGCGAAAGCATGCGGATGCGTCCCCTGGTAGGAGGAGGTTACGAGAATGGTGCAGGGTGGAAAGAAGAGGGGAAAAGTCTTCAGCGCTGGAGTGAAGAGCGCTAAACGTGGACAAAGAGTGAGCTCTGTAGCTCCTCCAGGCTGATGTCCCGGGCTGTTGGAGGTGTCTGTGCCCGCCCTGCCCGTCGGGCTGCGCGCGGCGGGTCTCGCAGCACGGAGCTCTGCGCCCCGCGTGCCAGCCCGGCCTGCCCGCCGCACCGCTGGCTGCTGCGGTGTTCCCGGCGCTGCGGCCTGCCGGGTCGGTGCCACGGAGATGACACGTACGGAAAAGCTTTAAACTCACCCCGGTGACAGTATCCCTATAGTTACAGTGCACACATTGCAGCTGCAATGTTTATTTTTTCCCTGCTAGAAACATACCTCTTTTCAAGACTCTGCTTTTCAGGCAGCCTCTGCTAGGCTGGCATATAAACCCTGGTTTAAGCGGCCGCCAGGCAGCACCGGTGCGGAGCGGGGTGGCGCTGGGGGCTGGCGGGAGGCAGGTGCCGCTCGCTGGGCGCCCGGGGCCGCGGCGGCAGCCGAGGGCGCTGCGGTGGGGACAGCTCTGCTCCGCCGGCTGCCAGCCGCGGAGCGCCTTCCGGCACTGCTAACCACAAAGCTCCCACAGAAGGCTCTGACCCTGGCTGCTCCAGGCGCAGGCATCCAGCCCACTCTCTTGTGTTTACCCCGCAGGCTGGCTTCATCTTTTACAACCTTTTGCACTTTTGGGAACTGCTGGGATGCCTTGGAGCCTCCCCTGTTCCTCCCCTGTTCCTCATCGCCCCCATCAATACTCGGTTAGTGCTGGAGCCGCGGGCTCTTTTCTTACCCAATCTACTCTGGTCCACCCCAGGCCCGTGTGCTGGGCTGCTCTCTGCTCTCCTCCCTCTTTCCCTGGTCCCTGCAAGATTTCTGATTTCTCTAGGCTCAAATATAATCGTACCTTGTTTGCTGGGGCTTGCTCTTTTTGGCCTCCCTGGTAAAGGTCCTTTCTAATACCTTCTTTGTTGTGGCTGTCCTTGTACTCCAGCCACTGGACTTTATTCAGCTTTTGTGCATTTCCTGTTCATCTGGTATTTCAGCCTCCTTTGAAAATACTTCCAGCTGGTTTTCTTTCGACATCCACTTTTGGCATCCTTAAAGGAACAGCCAGCCAATCCTGGCCCGTCCTCACTGACAGCTTCCAAAGACAGCTGTAAATCAAGCCCGAAACTGTGGTTTGGTGATTGACTGACACAAATGCTGTAGAGTTGATCCAACTTCCCAAGAATTTCAGGTCTGTTTAATAGTGTAAATGGCTTGAGACCTGCCTGAGACTGGTCCCTTTAAGCATGGTGCAGTAGCTATTCTTGGGAAATGACAGAGGTGAGGGAGAACAAAACACAGTGTGATCTAGTTAAATAGCTTTCCTGCTAAGTATGTGAGGTTTCATGCTATTCTGAGAGGTTCAAAAAGTAAAACACTGCTCCAGTGCAAAGCCACAGTTTGTAACAAGTTTCTCAGTACTTTGCTTTATCTGGTTCTCATGAGTGTGCTGAAGTGCATGTATGTACCCATGAACTCAGGTTGTTTTTCTGATAACTCCTTGTCTAACAACATATAAATCTGAAATAGGGAATATAATAATCTGTAGCACTTACAAAATAAACTTAGTATAAATGAAATTAATATTTATGAAAATGTAATATACTCAGTAATTTAGGACTGTAGAAAATACGATAGGAAAATGACAAATTTGCATCTAACAGTGAAATATTCAGTATTATTTGAGGAAGCATTCTTAGTCTGTGAACAGTAAAATGATAGAATGACGTTAGTATGGGGAAGTGCACATGAATAAGAAAAGCAGGCCAGAACACTGCCTTCAGCTGTGGCCGTAGCGGGAACCCTTCTTGCAGCTCTTCACCTCCTATTCCTTAGCACTCGGTGTGACTGGATTAGTGATGTTCATGGGTACTTTCCTGCTTTTAATCACCTACTAACAGACTTGTTCTCTGCAAATCCATATAATCCTTCCTGAAGTGGTTATGTACACTTGCACGAGCTGTTGGGCCATGCGTGAAGCTGGTGTATGAAAGGGGTGTAGTGATTCCTGTTGGCCGTTTCCCCACCATCTATCACCGGCTGAGAGTGATTCTAGAGCTGTTTTGGTTTGTGCCGCTGGAGCGGGGGTGGTGGCCCCTTTGAAACGCTGGGGCTGTCTCCTCGCTCGCAGTCTGGTTCTCAGGGCTCCCGCTCAAGGACAGGAAAGTTCTGCTGGTGTCAGTAGAGCTACTCTGGGTTTGTACTGATTTAAGACCAGAATCTAACCCAACTTTCTCAACACAGAAAAACCATCAGTTTTTCCTCTCATGTAATAATGAGAAAGAGTGAGCTAAGTAACTTCCAGTTACTGATGTTTAGTTTTTTCTGTTTTCAGATCTTCTGTCTTTCATCCTCCATTAGCACTTCTTTCTGTGCTCCTTCGGCCATCTCCTTTGTACGTAAAACTTGGGCCTTTTATTTATTTATTATTTTGAACTCATCGAAATACCAAAAGAACTATGAGGGGCTTATACACCCAGCTGCTTAAAGCTGGGCTCTGCTGCCGTTTTGAGGGGACTATGCTCTTTATGCTGAGCTTGAATTGAGTGCCCCCACCCCACATCTATTAACTTGTAGGTGACATCCAAATTTCATTTAGGTTTGGTGGAGAAAGGAAGACTAAGTAAATAAATTTAGAGAGAAGGTTGGTTTTTATAATAGTAGGATATCCTGAAGTGTTAATATAATCTGGGATGTCGTGCTTTGGAGAGATGGAGAGAGGAGAAGGGGAAAGAGAACAAGCTTGTGAACCTCTGTCTGGCCCTAAGGGCTGTCACCTCTGGTACTTTCCAGGGTGGCATCATGTCACGGTCTCAAGTCGGCCCTTTGAGGCATCTTGCAGTGGGATGCTCTGTCTGGGCTTGTTCTCGGGCTGCCTGCTTCTCTGCTGATGGGTACTGGTTCCCAGCTGTCAAATCTGTTTCTTGCCCTCCGTGCTGCTCAGGAGAACAGTCATTGCAAACTGGACTCAATGTTGATACATTTCAGACACTTTGTACTGTACTCTCTGAAAGAGTTATAGTGAATAAAAATCTCTGGGACTAGTACTGGAGTTTTTTGTCAAATGGTGGTCAAACACAGTCCATGTATAGGAAGCTCATAATGTCAGTTATGAAGATTAAACTGCCCCTTTGTTAGGGTTCCTCTAAGCCATGCATGTTCACAGAGCAGTTCAGCTTCTTGTTTCATGGATGAACAGCTCCATCTTTTCCTCAGGCACTGCCTGCTTCAGAAAACAGCAGATCTTTGCAGTCTGGGCCGAGTCCTGCTTTGCTTGGATGCGGGTTGCTGTTTACCCACCCTTCTGATGAGGAGCAGCAGCGGAGCCCGGCAGGGGCCGGATCCTCACAGCAAGCAGGCACATCCAGCCGGATCCTCGCCGGGAATTCACTGCCCTGCCTTCATCAGAAGTCCCGTTTGGACACAGGCTTGTTTCAATTTCTGAAAAACACTTGTGGTGACTAAAGGTAACAGCTCACCCTGGAATGAAATGCAGCAGATTATTTTGTTCTTTTCTCCAAGAGAGACTTATGGCATAAATTAGTGCTTGGTTTAACTGCTGGACTGAGGGGAGCCTGAATGGAAATAACAGGGTGCCTGCAGGGGAAATGTGGAGAAAAGTAACTTGCACTCCA